GGTGCCTGGGGTTGTTGTGCCCCCAGTGCAGGACCCGGCCCTGAGCCTTGCTGACCCTCACCCAGTGCCTGGGCCCATCGACCCAGCCTGGCCAGGGCCCTCTGCAGAGCCTCCCTGCCCCCCAGCAGATCAACGCTCCCGCCCGACTGGGTGTCCTCTGCAAACTGGCTGAGGGTGCCCTCGATCCCCTCGTCCAGGTCGTTGATAAAGATATTGAACAGAGCTGGACCCAGTGCTGAGCCCTGGGGACACCACTGGTAACTGGATGACATTTTATGTGTCTCGTGACTCGTGACATCTTATGACTAACGGCCATCAAACACTCTCTGCGAGCTCAGGACCGCAACGTCACCGACCAGAGTGGGGCCGGGCTCAGAATGCCGACCGAGATCGGCCTGTGACGAGGCAAGGAGAGCTTTGCGCCATAAACTGCAGCTGCTTCGGCCGAGCAACCCTTTCCTCAGCAGCAAATGCTTCCTTTGACGCAAGAACTAGAGGGCACTGGGCGAAACTATCAGGAGGCAGATTTAAAATGAATAAAAGGGTCTATTTCTTTGCTAGCCAGTGCTGGTACCAGCGGCAGGACACTGGCTTGATGCAGCACGCACGGCCAGGAAAGCGTGGCTGAAGTATGTGCCTGTATTAGATGTGGAATGAAGCCCCAAATCTGTAAAGGATACAGAAAAATCCCCCGAAGCAGCCCGCCTGTGAGGGGCTTGCATACATAAAGCCGTACAGAACTGCTCGTGAATTATTAATGAACGATATTCTTAAGACAAACGGTCTTGAAAAAAGACAGCTCGATGTTCAGGTGTCGGCACGTTCAGCCGCTGTGTTTAGCTGAGAACTCCCTGGGCAAATTGCTGCCGGTCCCCCCCAGGCTCGGTGAGCCGCTCGGAGGCAGCCCCAGCTCAGGGCCGGAGGGAATGGCTCGCTTTCCCCGTGGAGCAGAAGACGCGGGAGGGCAGAGCGGGCGGCGGGCGAGGGGTCCTACCTGCTCCCACCGTGGCTATGGCGCTCTCCTGACCGATGATGTGCTCTTTCAGCCGCTGCTCCAGCGGAAACCTCCGGCGTTCCTCCACCTCCCTCTTGCGCTGCTCCTCCTGGAACTGTGGGAGGGAAGAAAACGCTGGGATCAGAGGCTTTTCAGAGCAAGAACAGGAGCATCGGGTACATACATAAGAGTTTTGTCCCCCACCCCCAGGACCGCAAAGCCCTGTGGGCATCTGTCTGACACCTGGACAGACAGACAGACAGCGCCCGGACTGCTGCCTGGCACTGGGAAGCGGCCAGGGCAGATGCAGCTTGGTGGGAGTCTGGAAGCACCAGCCCGAGCCACGGCGAGAGGAAATTTCTGGATCTGCCAGGGACAGGGGCTGGGGCAAGCGGCAACGGAGAGGAGCGGGTGAGCCGCCGCGCCGCGGGCAGCACCCGGGAACCGGCGTGGCAGCTGACGGGGAAAGCAGGCTGCTTCTGTAACGGTGACACAGAGGGAACAGTGACACCGCTCAATTTTCCTAACGAGCTCGTAACCCGTTACAAGCATGCTTATTTTGAAAAATAAGGCCTCAGCTACTCTACCTATATTGTTTTCCCACCCTCCACCCACCTCCTGTTCAAAGGCTCCAACATCATCCCGTGGGATGGCAGCATTGCCGTCTCCGGTTGGGTACGCTGGGGAAGCCCGGCACCATTGCCTTGCAGGCAAACCCGCGGCAGCACGCAGGCCGGCGCTGGAAAAAGCTCTGTACTCGGAACGTTTGCTTTCTTCCACCTCCAGCTCACAAGGAGCAGGGCCTTCGAGACTCAGGCGCTGCTTCCACCCGGCTCGCTTTCCGGAGCTGGAGGCTGAGATAGCGCGCAGAGCGGCGTACAGAGCCGCCCGACACAAGCACATCTCCGAGATGCTCGGGGACGGGACCAGGCGGAATCCCAAGGTGGGAGCAGGTCTTCTGCTGCCGTGAACTTCTAGAGGAAAGAGGACAAATCCAGCCCCTGCTCATCTTTAGAAAATGCTGCAAAGCTTTCTGCTGAGCGCCGTTCCCCATCCCAAGCAGACACTGGCCGTCTCACCAGTGAAACCAGTGCTCTGGAAACAACCGTCCCACAGAGCCTGAGTTAGCTAAGGACAGAGCACGAAGAGCGCAGGGGGTTGGCAGGGCGAGTAGCGTAACACACATAACTGGGCCCATCATTTAACCGCCTTCCTGAAGGGAAAACGCCTCTAACAAAACCAGAGAGCGGAGGCAGAAGCTGCCGCAGGGCCGGAGCGGATAAACGCCCCCGGCCAGGCCGCCAGTGTTCCCTGGGCTGCTACTGCCCCTGACAGAAGTTAAAAAAAAAATAAACAGCAAACGATCCAATTTTGGCTGCTGCCATCAGTCTGGTGTGTAACGGAGAGATGCCATCAGCCCTGATGCCTCATACGGAGCAATAACTTCCCTGCGGATCCCAGCGGAACAGCCCCGGGGGACAGGCACCAGCGCGCCTGCCGTCATCTCCCCCCGGCTCCATGTACGCCACGAGGCTCCAAGCGCTGCTCTTGCCATATATCTGTGTCTTTCCACATATCTTGACAAATCTTTCCTTCCTCCCTCCTCTTCTGCCTCTCTTAAGGTGCAGGGAACGTGATCTGTGTTGTCAGGGCACCGAGCGAGTCGTGGGGGTCTGTGGAGGACGTGCCCGGGGAGCCGGAGGGGACGCCCCTCGCCTGCAACCCCCCCTCGGCAAACCAACACTGTAGAAGTCCCTGGGGAGGAAGAAAGCCCCTTCCACGGGTACAAGACCGCACCAGTTACGGTGCTTTTTCCACTCATCTTGGATTTCGCCGGAGACACGAGCTCCCGCTCCTTTCTCTCCCAGCCGCCTCTCCCTCCCCCTGCAGAGGTACGCACCCAGCTTCTCCCACCTCCTCCCTGCTCCCGCCACTGGGGCGGCTGGAGCAGCACGTCCAACCCGCGTCTCGCTCCTGCTGGACGTTTCTGCCGGACATTTCGCCCTCATTCACATTTGACTTCAGTCCTTGGCGTTGGTGGCGAGGAAACCAGCAGCCGGAGCAAGCAACGCCCGTTCCCGGTTTGCGGCGTGAAACGGTGTCAGCGGGCACCACGTCCTCGCCCTCTGACAACCGGTCTTCAGTTCTCCTGACGAAACTTTTGGGCACATCGCTGGCACTTAGGTGGATTACAGCGGCGTTACGTGCTGAAAGAAACGCGGGGAGCGGTACCCTGCTCTCGCGTTGAAGGCATCCGAGCTGCTGCGCTCACCTGGGCTCGGAGCGACTCCTGACGCGATGCCAAAACCACGAGCTGTTCATTTTTCATCAGAGATTCGCTCCATCCGTGCTTCGGCAGAGCTCACCCTGAGATAGTAACAGCCGGCTGCCAGTCACTAAGACGGGCACGGCTTTCGTTATCCGTGATCCAGCGCGGCGTCCCTCCCAGGCGCGACGGCATCGCCGGGAAAACACTCAGAGGGAAGGGGCTGGAGAGCACAGCACCGGCAGAACCAAACCCTCGCAGCAAACATGCGGACGCGGAGGGGGCAGCACCTTTCGCCTTATGGGGAAAGGAATGGAAAAGGTTAAAGGAAAGCGGGATGATGAACTGCAGAAGATGTCAGGGACACGGATGAAGCTACGACAGCCTTCGGAGATCCGGAGCGCGGTTCTTCCGCGGGGAGGGCAAACACCGTCTTGCGGTTGTTCTGGTGGGTCTACAGAAAGCAGAAAATCGGCTTTTCCTGCGTGGCTGCTCTGCCCCTGCCCCTACACACGGCTTGAGGAACAGACGCTTCGCTAGCAACCAGAAGAAGACATTTTTCTCATAAAATATGCTTAAACCAAGAACCCGAGGATGTTCTGGATGGGAACAGCGGCCTGCGCTTGAGCCACAGCCGGGCGTTTGCTTTCTGTAGAGGGTCCACCAACGGCGATTCCCGGTGACGAGGGGACAGGAGCTCCGGCTCAGGAGGGCCCGCACCACTGCTGGCCTGGGGAGAGGGCAACCGCGTGCTCGTCCTGGCTGAGACGCTCCCGAAAAACCCTTTGGTGGCCACCGATGGAGACAGGAGAGACCACTGGCTGGATCTGACTGGGCCCAGTACAGCACGGGAAAGAGGAGTGGAACGGCAAAGAGAGACTTGTAAGAGCTGGGATCAGTCCTGGGGCTGCGTCCCTCCCAGTTACGCACACGAGTCACCAGTTCCAAGGGCTGCTCCTCTCCTTTTCGCCCGAGACACGCGGCAGCGTATCTCAGTTTCACCAGTTCAGCAACGGGAACTGGCCCCAGAGCCCTCAACACCAGGCGAGTGTGGTTTAGCACAGGGAAAGCACAGACAGAGCTCTTTTTTTGAAAAGAATAAAGGAAATCAAAATAAATTAAAAATACATATGAAAACTCCTTGTTATTCTGTCACAAGGATATGTAAATAAAATCTATGGGATGTGCCCATCCAGTAGCAGTGCTGCCAATTCATTCTCTAGCAGTGATTAAAATGAGCAATAAATTCTCAAAGACTCTCGGTGGAACGCAGAGACGGGGGTGGCTGCGACCCCAGGAGCTCCGCGTCCCCCCCAGCTGAATATTCATCACGAGCTGCCTTGCCTCTCTTATGTTTTATATACAAGTACAATCATTTTCATCGGGAACATCTCCACAGATATATCTCCTTTCTCTCCTCCATCTATTAGTCAAGCATAAAAACCAACGCCGCTCTTCAGCCTGTTAGGGGCAGGTTTCCTTGCCAGTGCCGGCCTCCAGAGACCATTTACCCGCCAGATAATTCCCCCCCACCTCCTCGTAAAGATTTCAAGTATTTTATTCCCGACTTTTCTTCCTTAAAACTTGCTCGGAGAGCTGTCCAAGCGACCCAGCAGCGCTTCTGGCTAACAGGAGCCGTCGGAGGAACGCCAGGGTCGGGGTTTCCCTCGCCGTGACGGAGCGCGGCGAGCCCAAGAGGAAAGATCAGCGTCTCGCTGCTTAAGGACAGAGGTTTAGCCTTCGGGAACGCGGATTTGAACTGCTCGAGCAGTGATTTCCCTAGGCGAGCACAGGCAGTTTTGGCTGCCCGGCAGGTTTAATTCATGGTAATGTCTGCTAAGGGCAATAATCGACACCGGTTTAATTACCTTCATCTTCCACCTTCTAGGAGTGGCGAGTCCTTAACCTCAGGTTTCCAGCATGCAAATCCCAAACCCACAGGCCGAACTCGGAGGCGCACGACATCAGGGCACGAGTCAGGAGGAAACCCGGCCTCCTCGTGCCTCAGTTTCCCCGTTTGCAGCCTGGTGGCACGGGTGCCCCCTTCACCGGGCAGCGGGGGACTCTCCTGCCCTGGGACGCTTGCAGAGACGATGCTCGAGAGGCATCGCTCATCACTGCTGCGACGGCCTCGCCTATCGATCGATAATTAGTTGCTCCCGCTTGAATAAGGCCTCACACCCAGGAATTTCAAATCCTCGACATCAGGCTGCAGATCCCTCATCGCCGAATAACCCGCTACTCTGTAAATCTGCTTACTCCTGGGGTTTTTATGGGAACCGCTGCGGCAAATGTGGTTCTTCTCCCTCTTTAAAATACCTTCTAACGGCGACACGCGAAGGGGACGCGGCGTGCTCCAGCCCACTCGAGGGGACGGCGAGGCTGGAGGGACGAGAGGGGCATTGCACAACCAGGCAGCGGCAACGGGCCTCTTTTGCCTTCGCCGGTGCCCGCGGAGGCACGGATCCCAGGCCCACCACTGGACTCCGCATTCTCAGACCTGCTTCTTTTCCCAGGAATTTCAGAAAATACAGTAAACCCCACCCCCTGATTTTACCGTATTTTTGCCAAGGGGTTAGAGAACGGTATTACTGGGCCTGGGCACTGAAGAAATGTTGAAATGGAAGAGGAGGGCACGCAGCCACGGACACGGGTTTCTTTTTTCCTTACGCATCATGTCATTAATTCATACAGACCTCTCTTGAAAAAGCATGGAGGTGGAGGAGAAGGAGGAAGTCTTCTTTAAAACCGTTCTTGTAGCGGGGAAGGAAACATAAAGTCACCGGAATCCCGGGCTCACCTTCGCCTCCGACGCTTTCAGAAGGCTCATGACCTCCCCTTCGCGGGCGTAATCCAGGGGCGTGTGTCCCATTTCATTCTTCTGCAGGGGGTTGGCACCTGATGGCAGGAAGAAATGAAAGATCAGGGGATCAGAGTTCAGTCTTGGGGCAGAATCCTCCCGTCCCGGTCCGTGTCCGCTCCTAACCTTTGCCCCGAAGGGCTTCTGGATCGGAAAGGGACAATGTACAACCAGCGCCGACATGGACGGGGGTCCGGGGAACAAGAAAAGCAATTGTCACCGCTAACAATCGGCGTGGCAGGGAAGAGCTGCTGTGGGGGATGAGAGCACATGGTCGCCAGAAGAAAATACAGCTTCACAAAAGCACCCGCTCCCGCTCCCGCGGGAGCCACATGGGCCCATTACGGCTTCGATTGGACACGCTGCCCTTCCTCTCCGCCGCTCCGAGCTGGGGCCGGGGCTGGCTGCAGCCTGCGAAACAGCTGCCGCCCTCAGCACGGGAGCGGCTTCTGGGGAGGGCCGCATGCTCCTTGCGAATTTAACGTAAAAAAAATAGCCAACAAGCCCCAGAGACTGAACTGGAGGGAGTCAGGCGGGCACCCTCTCAGGAACAAACTCGCGCGGAGAGAGCTCCCCGTCCTCTCCCCTCCCCGGACACGCTGGAAGAACATGCAGAGTCAGACTGGTCCCAGTGGCAGTGATGGGAAAGATCCGGAGGGAATCTTGGACAGGGCAGTCCGAGATGAGGAGAGAGGGGTGCTGGGGAATAGCAGGCAAGCTCTCACAGGATTAACCCCTGGCTCTCGGCATCTCAGGAGACATCTCTAAGGCACTCAGCACTAACGTTGCTGCACTCTGCCTCCACGACAGCTTGCTGTCGCCAACCAGCCACCGAGGGTTAGGAGAACGAACCTGCGAATCGGCCTCAAACCCCGCAAGCCGGCGCTTGAGCTGCCCGTCCCGCCGGTTTCAGGGCGACAGCGCTTATCGGGCCCTGGGAAGCGGCCCGGCGAGGGAAGAGCCCGTCGCTCTGCTCGGTAGGGCTCCCCTGTAAAGCGGAGGGGACGGCGGTGACGAGGCGCCGGGATGGGCAGGCCGACGGTGGCCGTGCACGACTGCGAAAAACCGGGAGCCCGGGCCCCGCTACAGCATCCCCGCTCTGCAAAGAGGCCTGGCGAGCATCCTCCGTCCCGCTGGGAACACGGGAGCGAGGCGGGCACCTTGGCACAGGCGAACCGGGCTGCAGCTTCTGCTTCTGCAAGGCAGGGGAGCGCAGAGCACCAGGGGTGCTCAATAAAAGCGAGCAGCAATCATAATATATGAAAGAAGTGAGCGGGCTCTCTGCGAGCGGGAGCCAGGGAGATTAGCCATTTCTAAGCATTGGCATCAGGGATCTATATTTGCTTACAGAATGAAAAATGTGCTCCATAAACATTCGACACAGAGTAATTTCTATTGCAAGCCTTGTCATTGCAAATAAAGAATATGATCGAGACAGGTGAGATTATATACTGCCGAGGCCGGCCACTCAATATCTTTTAAAGAGACGGTGCTCCCACGGTCCCCCGCGCCGCCGAAACCCACCCCGGGTCTGCGCCGCTCCGGGCAGCGAGGAGGGGGGCAAGTTCTCTGCCTTCTCCAAATGATGACATCCTCGAGGCTAGGCCGGCTCTCATTTCAGATGAAGGCTGTGGGTTTGTTTGGCTTTTCCCTTCCCCTGGATCTATCAATAATGGCTATCCAATATTGGCCTAATCCCCCTGTTAATGGCTTTGACGACTTGACTAATTGCTGCAATAATTGATAGAACCCGACTCCTACAACTGGTCGATTCCAACCTCCAGTACCGGCAGCAATAAAATATTACGCCGCCATAAATAACGGTGTCACTTTGCTTGCTAATAGAAGGTAAAAGTGGCGAGGGGTTCGGCGGCGCCCCGGCTTGACCCCCTTCCCCATCCCCACCGCCTCCCCCGCCCTCTCCCACCCCCGCAGCTGGCCCCCGCGGCGGGC